TCAATCACATTTGGTTTTAGATCACTATAGAAAATAGCTACACGTTGTAGCTTAGTCGCTTTATATAAACAAGGACAATGAGAAAAATTTTCGTGACTATCAAGGTCATTACGTCCTTTAAAAAAAGCCTTCACACATTCTCTCTTTTTTCCCCTTTGGACAAAGCCAAGGGAGAGCAAAATCTAAGGGCTCACTAGACTGAAAAGATCCTCTAACAGCAAATTAAAACAAGATCTCAGTTGGCGTGGCCAGAAGAAGAAAAGAAAACAAACATGCATTTGGTGGGCAATCAAAATGGCAGACACCGATAGGCATCATCTCTTCTGCTTGATTTGTCAACCAATCTGCTAGCCTCTACCCCTTCCTAATCCCTGTGTATGGGGAAAGAACTGGCCATGACCATAACAGAGGAGATGATTAGAACAAAACAGAACAAAACCTTGTTTTTGCGTGCTTGCGTGACTTTTCATGTTGATTCTCCAACCAATCCCTCCTCGATCCCATCAAGCATTGGTTTCAATTTTCCCCCTTAAGTTCCACTTCCACCAACACTCAGTTTTTAATAACAGAAAAAAAATCACTGTCTCCTTTCTTTTGTTTACTTTCTCAAAAATATTCACTCACTTCAACCTCTCGCACGCTCTTCCTTTTCAAAAGCCTCATCTCTGCCTCCCTTCTTCAATGCAATTGAAATTTTACGCGAATTTTTACAAATTTGTTCCATTTTTAATCACATTGCAACCAAAAAAAAAAATCTAATCTAGATATTTATATCTTTTATAGTTTTCAGTATAAAAGCTATTTAATTAATTAATTTGGATATCCCATATTAAAAAAGTCAATTAATTATAACAAATGTTACTTAATTTTTCTAAAATATCTTCACATGACATTAAATAATTAATTTGAGAAACAAGATAAAATAAAGTAAATTAAATTTTATTTTTTGTATCGAATTCAATCCAGCTAGTTTTTATATTAGCATCGGAAGTACAATATAAAAATTTTAATAATCACCTCGTTTCCACCCATACTCCCATACTGGAGGGCCAATTTATGGGAAGAAATAGTAGATAATAAGAAGGCGGAGGTTGGGCTAGGCTGAATTCGAAAGCAAAAGCAGAGCATGTCATTCCAGTGGATTTGGAGATGAGCATAGGAAGTATCGCCGGTGCTATTTCCTCATCTTTGCAACTACCAAACCTACCTCATTCCTCGTTGTCCAAATCTGGCGGATTCCTCGATGCCGCCTCTTCCCTTCTTGACTTCCCTTTCTTCCTTCTAACCCAACATGAAGTCACCTTCGCACCCTCTGTCCACTCCATTATCATCGCCTTCTTGGTTATTCCCACTTGCTGCCCACTCTTCTCTCGCTAGTCTTTTTTTTCCCTTTCTTCTTGCCCTCTATTAGATTCGCTTTTTATTCGGAGACATGGAAATCCCCCTCTCCCGTCATCAAACTTTGTCTTTGGATCAAATCCAAACTCCTCGTGGATTTGCATTTTCGTCCAATAAGTGTCTCTTAAAAGAAAGAAAATGGAGGAAAGCTTCTTCGCAGATCCATTGTTCCTCTATGGAACAAGGATTGCGACCGCGGCCGACGCCAAAACCTTCGAAAATCGGTTTTGATGAAAGACAAGAACCGATCTTGGAGAAATCCCAGGTTAAAAAACCCCCTCCAGGACTATGTAGTCAGATAGAGAAGCTGGTTTTGTGCAGTAGGTACCGCGAAGCGCTCGAATTGTTTGAATTTTTGGAGCTTCAAAGTGGTTATGATGTGGGTAGCAGTACGTACGATGCGTTGGTGAGTGCTTGCGTTAGTCTGAAATCGATAAGAGGTGTAAAGAGGGTGTTCAATTACATGGTTACTAATGGGTTTGAGCCAGATCTGTATATGAGGAACAGAGTGTTGCTAATGCACGTGAAATGCGGTATGATGATCGATGCGTGCAAACTGTTCGGTGAAATGCCTGAGAGGAACTTGTTGTCCTGGAACACAATCCTGGGGGGACTTGTAGACTCTGGAAGATACATGGAAGCCCTTAGATTATTTCTAACGATGTGGGAAGAGGTTTCTGATGGTTGCTCTCGCACTTTCGCTACCATGGTTCGAGCGTCTGCTGGATTGAGTCTCATTCATGTAGGAAGGCAGTTTCATTCATGCGCTCTGAAAATGGGTGTGGGTGAAGATATTTTTGTGTCTTGTGCACTGATTGACATGTATAGTAAGTGTGGCGTCATTGAAGATGCTCAATTTGTGTTTGATTTAATGCCAGAAAAGACAACTGTAGGATGGAATTCCATTATTGCCGGTTATGCGCTTCATGGTTATAGTGAGGAAGCGCTGGAAATGTATTATGAGATGCGCAATTGTGGTGTTAAAATGGACCATTTTACATTGTCAATAGTTATAAGAATATGCGCAAGATTGGCCTCACTGGAACATGCAAAACAAGCTCACGCTGCTTTAGTTCGTCATGGTTTTGGTTCTGATATAGTGGCTAACACAGCTCTCGTGGACTTCTATAGCAAATGGGGTAGGATGGAAGATGCTCGTCATGTTTTTAACAGGATGCCTTGCAAGAATGTTATATCTTGGAACGCATTGATTGCTGGATATGGCAATCATGGTCAGGGTGATGAAGCAGTAAGTATGTTTGAGCAGATGCTTCGAGAAGGGATGATTCCCAACCATGTCACTTTTCTTGCTGTCCTGTCTGCTTGCAGTTATTCAGGATTATCAGAAAGAGGTTGGGAGATTTTTCAATATATGATTCGAGACCATAAGATTAAGCCCCGAGCAATGCATTATGCGTGTATGATCGAATTGTTAGGTAGAGAGGGTCTTTTAGACGAGGCATTTGCATTAATCAGAAGTGCACCTTTTCAACCAACGACTAACATGTGGGCAGCGTTACTGACAGCGTGCCGAATGAATGAGAATTTAGAGCTCGGGAAGTTTGCGGCTGAAAAACTATATGGAATGGAGCCTGAGAAGCTGAGCAATTATGTGGTGCTGTTGAATATATATAACAGAGCTGGCAAGTTGAAGGAAGCGGCTGGTGTTGTTCAGACCTTAAAGAGGAAGGGTTTAAGAATGCTTCCAGCATGTACCTGGATTGAAGTTAATAAACAGACATTTGCTTTCCTTTCTGGAGATAAATCCCACCCGCAAGTGAAAGAAATATACCAAGAAGTGGACAATCTGATGCTCGAGATATCAAGACATGGTTACATGGTGGAGAACAGTACCTTGCTTCCTGATGTAGATGAAGAAGAACAGCGTGTATTGAAATACCATAGCGAGAAATTAGCAATAGCTTTTGGATTGATCAGCACAAAAAAATGGACGCCTTTGCAGATAACTCAGAGCCATCGCATTTGTAGTGACTGCCATAATGCGATTAAATACATAGCCATGGTTACTGGGCGAGAAATCGTGTTGAGGGACGCTAGCAGGTTCCACCATTTCAGAAATGGGACTTGTTCTTGTGGTGACTACTGGTGAGGAGTGATGATGAAGCTCATTCATAACACAAGTACTGCAAAGTGGGGTCAGCGAAACATATTAGATCTCACGTAATGTGCACTCGAGAATTTTTGCCGGAATAGCTTGTAATCATTTTTCTATTGTTCAGCTAGGTAGATACTAATACATAAATATATGGTTGCATTGTAAAATTTTATATTTCTTTTCTGAGTTACTCTAATAAAACGTCACGATTTCTTCCATCAATTGATATTGAGAGAAAGAAAATAATTACCAATAAGTCTCAATGAAAAGTGACTAGTTATCATTTCTTATCTTGAAATTTATCATTGCAGAAAGTTGTCACTAGAATTTTTCAGTAATTATATTATTTACTTGGCTCCATTGATATTATTGTTATATTTGTGGGGTAACAGTTTAAAATTCATACATTTTTACTGCACGCTCTTCATTATTTTTGTTTTTTCAAATACAAGTAGACATGAATTTATTGTAAAAGTAAAATTTTAGCGGGTAGAAATCATGGTTAAAAATTTCCCTGCACTGGTATTCATACATCAATAATTTTTCAATCCATTAAAATTCACTATTTAATGTTTTCATGTAACTCAGGCCAAAATAATAACTAGAGTTTAAAGAAAAAAAACATTCAAAGACCTTGGTAATTACAAATCTGAGATTCGATAATGATGTTAAGATCTTATTAGTGATAGTTGGAAGAAAATAGAGAAAATTAAAAAAAACCACTTAAATTTTAAAATTTTAAATCTGTCTTCTAAAATATTTTAATAGTAATTTTTTTAGCCAAATAATAGCAATTAATTATACTTTAAAAAAACAAATGACAATTTTTGCAGTAATTTCTAATCGGAGATTTTAAAATTATAACTGTGAGATCCTATAATCAAATTAAGATCTGATTAGTGACAGTTGGCAAAAAAAGAGGGAGAGAGAATAGTGACAAAATATTTATACACAAAAAAAGAAAGAAAGAAGAAGAGATAATTTGGTTTCAAGAAATGGGGCTTTCTACGGCTCTGCAATACCAGTAGGCTGTATGGGCCAAACGGCCTTGAAGCCCGGGGACGAGGGCAATTCCGATTATTAGCTGATTAATAATAAATTAATTAATAATTAAGCAGGAAGTGCTTGCTTTGGCAGGCTTCCTCAGGAATGCAGCTGACCTCACCTCACCTCACCTCAGTCTTGAAGACTGAAGCATCGCAGGGAAGCAGCGCCGAAGTTTCCACTTCATTTGACGCGCCCTCCTCCTCTTATTCTTTAACTCCCTCCCCTCTCATTTTCTCAAAGGCACGAGTCTTAATACAAACTGGAATCACAATCAAACACCACTAACATCCATTTCATCTTTACATCAACAAATTACATTGAACAAAGACAACATTTTTGCTGTAACTGCATACACCATTAACTCCTACAGATTCTAACACATTTCCAGATTCAAGGTAAAGACAACTTGCAAGGAGGCCAATATCAACCAGCTCCTTCTTCAGAATTCCATGTCTTGTGGCTCTTGATCCATCATCAACGAGTCCCCATCCCCTGCTGAATTTCCTTCTTCTCGCGAATCATTATTGGATCCCCCGGATCCATCATCCCACTCTGAATCCACTTCCATCGGATCATCATCGTCTTCGTCCAGGGACCTCACCCATACACTCACGGATACCAAACCCTCACCGCTCTCCCTCCTCTCGCCGCCATCTGGCTCGCCCTCGCTGCCGGCGATACTAATGTCTTCCTCCTCCGCCGGCATGGCATATCGGCAGATTGGGCAAGACCCGTGAATCCCTAACCACTTCTCAATACACCCCGAGTGAAATTTATGCTTGCACGGCATTTCCCTAGCTTCGCCCCCCACTTCGTAAGCTTCCAAGCAGATCGAACAATCCGTGCCTTCTTCGGTCACCACCACTCTGGGCATGGCCTGAATCGAATCCTTGGACGCCGGCAACGCCCCGGACTTCACCGATAGGCCTTGAAGCACGGATTGGAGATCTCCGGAGCCTTCGATCACGATCATGGCTCCCGCTGAAGGGTCAACTACGATGATTCGTACTCGGCCACGGTGGCTACCAGGATCAAATTCTGGGGCCTGGCGAGGGGGCGCTAAACTGAGAAGCAGAGGGAGAAGCATAGACAATCTTCGAATTTGGGGATCGTCCAGTTGCAGTGGAGGCGCAGATGATGAATTGGGGGAGGTGGCATCGGAATCAGAGGACATGTTTCGTCGGCAGAGAGAGAGGAGGGGGGGGGGGGAGGAGCTGCGCTTGCACAGTGTTGAATTGAAAAATTTTTGGAAGAAGAAATGAAAGGAAACTGCAAGCTAATGGAAAGGAATAGGTCGGCCATTACGTCGCCTCGGAGGGATCAAGAACGTTTTCGGAGAAACTTGTTCCATTATGTCAGAAACCTTTTCTCGGTTGATTTGAAGATACGGAGCACGACTCCCCCCACCCCCCTTTTTAAAACAGGATTGAGATACATCTACTATGTCAAAAAAAATTTTAAAATATACTACCTTTGATCCTTAATATAAGACTCCGTTTGACTTTTTGTCTGGTCCTAATTATAAGACCCCAATCCATTTTGTCTCTTATATTTATGTATTTTTTTCCAAGATAGTCCTTCTAATAATAATAGTTCTTGCCAATACACTTAATTAACAAGGATATTTTAGAAATGACAATATTTATTTATTACAAATAACTAACATAACTTACTTCCTTAATCTCTTCAAATAAATCAACTGGGTCTTATAATTAGGACTGGAGGTAGTATTTAGTATCTTAAAATATTTTGTAATATATTTAATATTTTAAAATATTTTTCAGGGGTATTCAACACTTTAAAATTTTTTTTACTTTGTTGTTGGATGTAGCAAAACATATTTTTGGATGCTGGACGTATTTAAAAAAAATATTTTGAGATGCTAGATACACCACAAAATATTTTGGATGTTGGATACACCTGAAAATATATTTTGGAGTACTAGATGCATCATAAGATATATTAAGATGTTGGATGCATTTGATAAAATATTTCAACGTATTGAATGTATCATAACCCTTTAAAATAATATAACTTAGATTTAAGTGTACAGATTTGAAAATTCTTTCAAATACAAATTTATGCAGAAATTTAAAATCATAACATTAAAATAATAACATTAATTGTTATCATTTTTAATGATAGGAAACAATGTTGATTCTAAACTTTTGGGAAATTTACACTAAAAAAGAATTCCAAGGCCAGCACTTTTATGTAAAAATTTTTAGAATAAATTTACATCTTAACCTAAATAACTTCACATTTCTTAATATACTTCATTAAGCATGGCATTTATAATTTTGGATTAAAATTTACAAACATCCTGAAAATTTTTTTTGAGTGTGTTCAACGTCTTTAAATATTTTGTAAGTCATTCAACACTTTAAAGTTTAAAGTATATTTTAAGTGTATCTAGTAACTTAATATTTCAAATACAAAATTGCATCACAAGCATTTTAGAATGTTGAATACCTTTAAAAAAATATTTTAAAATATTTAATACACTTGAAAAAATAGTCATGCTGTTAGATGAATCCTAAGTTCTAACATTATAATTTTTATTCTGAAGGATAATTATCCATTTAAAAATATTTTTAATGTAATTTTTATTAGGATCTTCAAATGTAAGTTTTCTTTATCACATAGATTGCTGCTATATATATATATATATATATATATATATATAATGAGCGTGTGCACACACACACATATAGATGTATATATATCCCAAGAATGATTGGGGCTTGATCGTCTGGCAATAACCCAAAAGCTTAAATAGTTAAAATTGGAAGAGTTTTAATCGGTACTCTATAACCTTCGTGGAAAGTCGTGGCGTCAATAGTTATTTTCAGTTCGGATGTCCAAATCCTCCTCCGTCCGACAAACATGTGGTGAAGTATGTTTTTTTTTCCTTTTAAAATTAGTGATTCTTAATTTTTTTATTTTCTGAAAATTTGGTAAAATTATGCTAAATTTATTTATTTTTCTTGAAAGACCAGTAATTATTCACTGATGAAACAAAAAGACTGATACTTAAACGAATGCATGCCCTTTGCTTGGGTTACATTACATGCTAGCACCACCTAGTGGGGTGAATTTTTTTCCCATTAACCACGTGGGGGTTTTTCTTGTTTGGCCAAATTAACCACATGGGGTTTATGTATTAGACGAGATGGATTCAAACTAAAAACAACCGCGGCTTGGCTAAGCAGATTCGATATGATTTAAGAACTTGACGGGGAGGATAGGAAATAGCTCCTCAATTTCATTCAAGCATAACGAATGATTTTTTCAAAGAAATTGAGCTTTGTCTATATGTAATGAATTTGAAAGTAGAGAAGCTCCATCGATAATTCATACAAAAATAAGAATATATGAAATGTGGGTGGAATGCATATTCAATTTCAGCCGTGCAAATTGAAAGGTAGAGGCTTTGCTGCTTGACGCGGCCCCTACCGACAAACCAAAGCAATCGACAGTTGAGGAGCATCTTCCTGGGCAAGACTACCGTAAAACAACTCAGCCTCTTTTATTCGTTTGTTTTACCGTTTCCTTTCTTTTTAATGTCCTCCTCTGTCCTCACGGATACATGAAACAGTCTCTGTTTTCTTAAGACAACGTACAAGTGTCCTTTTTCCCCTTTTTAAATATATATATATATATATTTTTTTTTTTTTCACCAAACGCCTTTCGATTTTCAAAAACAAAAGCCGCTCTTATTTTCTTTTCTGTATGTGCGTATGTATATCTATTAACTGAATTATATTACAAATATCTTTGCTTTTCTCAGCCGCGGTCGCGGAAATCAACCCGGACGCGGAGAAGACGATGAACTGAAACTTAGAGAGAGAGGGGGAGAGAGAGAGATCAGATACAGTCTGGCTCCCTCCGAAGCAGCTTGCTTGAATTTCAGCGCAGGGTTTGTTTCTCGCTGTATCTTCTTCATCCCTGCTGCTAGCTCCGACTGCTTCGCAGGCGAGTTGATCCATGGATCCATTGGCTTCCGCTCGGATCGACATCTTTGACATATATCGTCGATACCGTGGTAAGCTTCTTTTTCAAATACTTCCCTACGATTTCATCATTTTTCATCGTTTTCTCGCTCCCGGAAAATTATGGAATTGGGTTCTTTATCGTGCTGGCTGCTCTATTTTTCCATTCAGACTCAAACATCGTATTGGTTTGTTTCCATAATTTGATTCTGAACTCCATGTTTAGTTTCCTGGCTGTTATGAAAGACACGTCTTTTCTTTTTCTTTTTTCTTATTCGCTTACCATTCATTTGCAACACCGCGTTTAGCGCAATTCGCGGGCATCTTTGATGTAAGGGTCTAAGAACAGAGTATTTTGCTATGGCACATGCAACTGGAGATGTTTCCTCTGTAAATGAATTCTGTCTTCTTAAAAGAAATCTTAAATGCTGAAGGCTTTATTTTTTTTAAGTGCAATTTGAAAGTAAAGTATTATCTTTTATATTGCCGAGCTGAATTGGGTCCGAGACCTAGAGAAAGGAGGCGCCTGGTGCATTGTGGTCGTTTATGTGATATTTGAGCATCTTCTGCAGACATTAGAACTGGAAATACGCCTCTTCATGCGGAAGAGGGCTACAGGCAAGACAGTGACCTTCAGAAGGCTAGACACTCGAGGGAGGCGTTGGCACGGCTCTTGAAATTAGCAGAGTCCAGAGTTCGTATGGGGTATGGATGTGTTCTTTTGTGCAGATGTTTGGAAACTTCAATCTTTCGCTAGGAATTGATATTAAAATCATGCACGAGAGTTTTCACTGACTTGAATTAACTATCTGCTTCTAACTGTCCATTTCTTTGTCCATTCATTCCCTGTCCTTCTTTTCATGATGCATAACTTGCAGATGTTGGCTAGTTGGTGGAATGTATTCTTATTTCTGTTTGTGTTTCCTAAGATTTGGAATCCTATTACTGAAATTGTACCTTATTGTTTTTTATAAGTTCGTTAATAGTTTATAATCAAGGTAGGGCATGAGAGATTTTTCAGTGATTCTCTGACAAAAGGGAAAGAAACTTTTATCTTGGCAACTTACCTTCTTTAATGAGAAGTTAAATGCCAAAGGTGCCATCAAGACGCTAGACTTTTAAAACCCTGCATTCAAATGCTGCTAGAAAGGCGCTTGCTTGGATAAATCAAAGTGCTTAAGTAAGAACCAATGTGATATAAGAACACAAGAAAAGCAACTTGAAATAACCCTGATGTTAACCTGTTGTTTACTTTCTCCAGCAAACTAGAACTAGGACAGAAATATGGGTTTTCAGAAGGGTATTAAGCTATGACTAATTAATAAGAATCTGTAGAAATTCCCCTACAATCGTTTAGTCTGATTTCAAATTTGATTCTGTACCTAGACAGCTTATCAATCATGCTTTTTAGTAAACATTCTTTCACTAGCCAGTTGTACCCCCTTGTTCTTTCTTGCCTTAATTGCTTACCAAATTAACTCACTCAATCATTCTTGATTATCCAACAGCCAGACTATGGAGCATGGTTTTCTTGTATGCCAATCTTCATTGATTATGTATCTTTTTCTTATCATATTAGTTATGCTTCTGGTACTGGTGTGTGGTTGGGATGAAGACGTCAACTCAATCCTGTCAGTTTTTGGGTCTATGATTCTCCAGTGTAATCCTAGTTGAACTTGTGCTTCTATGTTAATGAATTTGTTTATCTGGTCAAGGTAGTTGTCATGTTCTTGTGCATGTCTTTCAGCTGTATGATTTTTATGACCGTGATAAATATAAGAATATATTATATGAACTTACCAAAAATTGCATTATATAGGAGCTTTTCTTTTCTACTTCTAACTATCTTGAAACACTATACTTGCCAGGGTAACAATTTTTGATGAACTCTTAGTGCTTATGCCAAGGCTTGACTTGACGGTAAGGTTTATTATGAGTTTATTCAACTTCATTTTTCAGATACTTTGCTCGTTTAGATAGTGTTTATTCTCTTTCTAGAAGCATGGTCACTACACTGCTGTGTCCTATATGTCATTTGTAGTTTAAAATTAGTTTTTTTAGGATAAAAGAAAGGGGACATGCATCCTAATATTCTCTGCAGTCTTTCTGAATTTCATTGGTAGAAACACTTGTAACAGTATTCTCTGCAAGACACGAAAGCATAGCCAAATGAACAGTTCTATCCCACAGAGGCTTTAACGTTTAAAACCTTCCTATAATGCTTCTGGCGTTCCTTTCTAAGTAGGCATGGAATGCATACTTACCTCTCTCTAGAAAACAAAATCGGCAAACATTATAAAAAAGATGGGTGATAAAACAGTTGGACGTCAATGAATTTTTTAAAATGATGTAAATATACGGAATAATGCTTTATGAGAGTCCAGTTTAGCTGCAAAGTTCTATGGAGTTAATATGTGACCAAACTAAATCTTTAGTGTTTGAACTAAGATCCTTTAAACTTCAAATTAACATATTAAGGTGATAGCAATGAGGACCAGGATAATGCATAGACTATTTTTCTTTTCCGCCTGAAGTATGGACTATTGAACTACTTGTCTAATCTCTATGGAAAATGTCCTAATTTATGAAGTAGGAAGATACCCTGAACTAATAAAGAATTATAACAAGATTAGTATAGTGGCCTCTCTGCCACTGCCACTAAAACTTTTGGAAACTAGAAATGGTGAAATTTTAAAAGTTTGTGCTTTCTTTGCTTCATAAATAAAGAGAAAAAGCAGGATACAAAGAAGCTCTCTTTCATTTTCTTCTGGTTTTTTTTGATAACTTCACTTCGCTAATTCAAATATGGGCTCTGTAGGTGGATTTTTCGGAATTCTCTTGCTTCTATGATTTTGTTTTCTTCATGTGTCGAGAAAATGGTCAAAAGAATATTAGTAAGTGTTCAAGTTTATTTAGTTCCACTCAACGTTTTTGTTAGTTTCACAAATTCATGAATCATTAAATCTTATCAGCTGGTTATTGCATTTGTGTCTTTTCTTTTCTTTCTTTATTTTTTTTTTAACTTCATAATTGACAGCTGTAGGCAGTGCAATAACTGCTTGGAAATTGGTTCTAGCTGGGCGGTTTCCACTACTTAGCCAATGGTGTGATTTTGTTGAGGTACAGCAATGGTTATATGCTAAAAATTGATGTGTTCCACATGTGTCTACTTAGATATGATGTATTAGACTTGTTTTCTTCTACCATATCTAAAATGTTCCTTGATTTTTTTTTTAATTCTCTTTTTGGTTATGTAAAAGTAATATCAGTAAGGAAAAACTTTTGGTTGTTTCTCTTTTAATGTGAGGCGTATAAATTGCACCTGACAATTTTCTTGTAGAAAAGTAGTTAGACTGCATGTTGCTATCTCAAATCCATATCACTTTGGTAATACGTCTTTTGTTTAAATCCATAGACCCTTATAATTGGTTGAACAACCATTCTTGCTGGTGTCTTTAGCATCCTTACGATTGCTGTCTTTGAAAGGTTGAGGTTTAAAGGGTACTATTCCCAAACATCAGAATGCTTTTGTGGCGGGAAAGAAAATTGTAGACATGGCTTTGTTGGCCTATGAAGCTTAAATGGTAATAAACACCGGGAGCAAATGTGGCTGTCTTTATTCAAGACTTTTGCATACCAAATTTAATGTTTATAGAATATTATGTCTTTACTGTTATACTTGATGTACTATCTTTTTTCAATGACCAATTTTGTGGCGAAGAATATGGCTGTGGTATTTAGCTTTTCATTTGAAGGAACTGATCTATTGAATCCTATTTAGAAAAATCAACGGTACAACATCTCTGAGGATACCTGGCAACAAGTGCTAGCTTTCAGCTTGTGTACACATGAAAATCTGGAAGGGTATGATCCTGAAGGTATTGTTATGATGTGCCTTATTACATCTAGCTTTGCATTCAGATTTGCGTGCACTTGCACTGCTCTTTCTGTGCAATATGTTTTCATTTTGTGACAATACTTGCATGGCTTATTAGTTCCCTTTTGCTTTTAACGGTGAATAATGTGTATGCTAATCTTTGTCTTATCCGCTTCATGACATCAAATAAATGCAGACGTTGGCTAGATCGTGCAACTCTCTTCTTGTTCTAATACTGACATGTTATGTTGATCACTAGTAAACGATCATTTCTTTTCCTTTCTTACAGGTGCATGGCCCGTTCTAATAGATGATTTTGTTGACCATATGTACAGGTTTGATTTTTCTTTTTGGTCCAAGGAAATCATTAAATGCTTGTGATTTATTATTATTGACTTTGTAAAGCGAATTTGTGTCTGATAAATTCTGTTATTTAGTTAGGAAAATGGTATTGTTCTAAATTCTCACATCAATTTTTTTTTCTTTTTCCATTTTTTGAAATAACCATTATATTATAAATATATCGTAATGCAGGTCCTCAGGATCATCTCATTATAATTCCAACTTACAATGTAGCTGCGGTGATCCCGATTCACAATTATGTATTTTTGAAGACTTGGTTCCTGGTAGGTTGAATGAACTTACGTTATTTCTGATCTTATGAATTGGAGTCTTGGTGGAACACAAACCCATATCTGAATATTGTTTTCGTACAGGAATGAAGAATTTATCTGGTTTAAAGAGGAAGGTACTGCATGACACGGGGAAAGATGATATGGAGGCCATATATACTCCCATCTCTGATGCTGCTGACTTGAGTCCCTCAAAAAGAAGTAGAGGGAATACTCAAAATGCTATAGAGGATTGTAATGGAATTGCTAGAAACAATAGCCCGTTGTGTTCATCTAAATCGCCATGTGCAGTTGAGCGCTGTCTGTCAAAGGGCTTTGCAGGACTTCTCTCAACGCGTTCCTTTGTGTAGTCTGGTCGGGAAAGGAGGGCGTCCTTTATATGAAGCACCAATTGTGGTTGAGGTATATAAAATATTCGTACGCGAAATGGTATAAGTTGATTTCCCCCCTTTTGAAAATCGGTTATTATGTTTGGATTGTAATAGTGTAGCATGTAGCTGGTGAGTGTTTAGCTGGCCATTTGTTCTCATTGATGAAATCAATAAAAAGCTTTTACTTAGTTCTTTTCAAGTCTTTTATTCAAATACATTTTAATGCTCCTCGAGTTCTAAATATAAGATTTATTTTATAATGTAATTTATACTACAAAATGGGTCTTATATTATACTACAAAATTGGTCTTATATTCATGAGTAGAGGATTATATCCGTTGCTCTAAGAAGTTATGTCAAATCCTCTATAGTCAAGACTTGTATACTCTATTCAATCTATCCTATTAAAATTCATATGCCCTTGTGCACAAAAACTCAAGAGTTATTTAGTAATTTAAGAGAGAATATATCTGATAACTGCTAATGCAGCGGTGGTATATAGCATTGTTTCCTGAGTTTTGTTGAACTATAATCTGATCAGTTAGAAAGTATTTGAAGCCTCACCCTCGTCTTAAGAAATGCGTATCCACTAGCTATCCACAGATTCTACATTATATGGATTTGAGAGTGACTGACAAATGCGCACAGGTGCACTTGCGTGCGTGAAGTGCAATGTGAAGTGTAGGAAAGAGGTTCATTCGATTTGATTGTATTCTCGAGGACGATGGAGCTGCATGCAATGCGAAGGATTAGACAACTTGGAATTGCCTCAAAAATGAGGGATCCGTGGTTGAAGAATTGAACGGCTATACTTTCGATTGTTCGTATTTTATCACTTATGATTATGATTGCAGTATAATCCTTGAAGCACAGAACAGTTGATACGGCGTCGTGTACTATAGACCCTTGTGAGAAGTTGGGCTATTGTATAATGCTGTGGCGTGTCATTGTTTTTAATGTCACGTGATTAGCGTGAGATTCCTCTTTTAAATTCAGCTAATCCACCAAAGCTGCTGTCGTACCCTGCTATCAGGGCATCCCCTTCTGTAGTTTGATGAGAAAATACCTTTTAGGCTTTCAGACGAGGTCTTGCCGTTTTTTTTTTCAGGGTGAGGGGGGCGTGGTTGGAGGCCAAACTGGAGTCTCAAAAGTGATTAAAGTGATTGATGACCCGCATCACTAACTACTTATTTCATGGAATGTCATTAAACTCCCACAATATGACCCCAAAAGTCGAAGATGACCAAAGAGATAACACAGCGAAAAATGAACTTGATGAAATCACTAAAAAGTGTCGTGACGACGTATAAACGGAGACCTGTGTTTCATTATGAGTTACAGCAGAAAATTTTGGCGTTCGGGAATGGCATCCTGAAGGCTGTAACGGCAACTGATTGGAGAAATTCTTCAGACGTATTTACCTCGAAACTTGTCAGTTAAACTAATTTGACAGAATCGCAACCCTAAAACCACTCAAGCATGATTGGACTCCTCATTGATTACTTGCCAAGACGAAGGATGCAAAGATTACAATTAGTGAACACAGACGCTGAAGCTGAAGGTTCACCATTGGTATTTGGCAGCAACAGCGACATCCTCATACTGCTGAGCAGCGTTGTCCCAACTAAGATCCTGGATCATGCCCCGTCTCTGAAGTCCTTCCCAGCTCTTTTTGTACTCCCTGTAGGTCAACAGGCAGTTCCCTAATGCATTTATCAACTTGTTTGTTTCTGCTCTATCAAATGTCCATCCAAGGCCTGTCTCATTAAATGGATCAAAAGGCTGCACAGTATCTCTCAGTCCACCAACAGCATGCACGACAGGAACTGTTCCGTAATTCATAGCATATAGTTGGTTCAAACCGCATGGCTCAAATCTCGAAGGCATGAGCAATATGTCTGCACCTGCAGTTATCCTGTGAGCCATCTTCACGGAAAAGCCAACCCATCCCCTAACTTTGTCATGATGCTGGGATTCGAATTGCCTAAGCATTTGTTCTAGGTCAGGCCTCCCAGTGCCCAACATGATCAATTGAACATTCTGGCCCACCATCCAGTGGACTGCTTCAGCTATGAGATCAACCCCTTTCTGGTGATCTAATCTGCCAATGAAGCAAATTACTGGGATGTCCTCACGAACAGGCAAACCAAGCTCCTTTTGCAAGGCGGCTTTGCACTGAGGCTTGCCTGTCTGGAACGTCTCGATGGAGTAGTTGGTGTAGCCATCAGATTTCAAATGAACATCGAACTGAGGATTCCAATCTTTGTTATCAATTCCATTCACTATGCCTCTCAACTTCCAGTCATTCTCATTTATTATATCATGCAAACCCCAGCCACCTTCAGAAGTTTTAAGCTCCCATGCATATCCATGACTAACAGTAACCACACGGTCAGCACTCTTTAAACCAGCTGCAAAGATATTGAAGTGATCACCACCAACGGGATCGTACAATTTAAAGAGGTCTATGTAGTGTTCAGGTAAATCCACATACGAGAAATCATCAACTGGACCCCGACCCTGCATAGAAAGTAACTGTGTGAATACTCCTTTACAATAAAGAGAATGCCATTAAAACTCTTTGATTAATGAGAATTATAAATCAGCTTCAGTCTGGCTCCACTCACGAGCATTACGATAAATTAGATTCTTCAGATAAGTAAAATTGTTTGATTTCTTCTAAAGATTTGCAGCAATAAGGGCAGAGCCTTTATTTTGATCGTTACCTACGAAGGTTTGAGAAAGCTATTCTAGCATCCACTTTCAATAGCATAATGATGCTAAAGATACTCAGGATGATTATTAGGTGCTTTTGTCTCGGTGCAAAATGAAAACTAATTATAGCAAGGACATTGCATAGTCAATGCTCAATTATGGGGCCTTCATGATGAAGCGATACATTCAAATATTTGGCAATTCTCTCCAGTCAATCACAACATTTTTAATCACAGAATATTTATAAGATTTGAGGTTAGGGTAAAGTTTTTCTCCAAGTGTAAAAATCAATTTCTATTTTCTTTTTGCCAGAATAATCAATTTTATTCTGCTTGTTTGATATTCCAGATTTTGGGAATTTATGATTGAGTGGTAGATCTGTTGCAATTTCTCCCTTTCATGTACCTATGCTCTCCACCGAAAATAGGCAAACAATTAGAGAACAGTCAACTCCTATTTTCTTCATGAACTATCTATCTATCCATTTTTTAACTGCCATGATTTATGCTAAGGAAGTTCGCAACATATACTTTGCTGCGAAGATAAATAATATAAACCTCCACATGTATTGAAATCACCAAGCAAGTCTTTCTAGTTCAATTAAACAAGTACACCAGCTGTGCTGGATAAAAATTGTGTAAAACTCTAGTTGCGTCCTTCACTGTATAGAATGAACAAACGCAATAGTAAAATCATTAATAGGACAGAGAGGTCACCTGGTGGGCTATGTTATGAATCACAAGTACAGATCTTGTATACTTCATCAAACCATGGTCACGATAACATGCCTTCAGATAAACTGGCAGCAACGCAGTATGCCAATCATTTGCTATGAAGACCAAATTTCCATCTCCATAGCAAATACCACCACATGGAACATACCAAGGAACCTGAAAATTGTTTATTTTTGTTACTCTACTCATCCATATGAATAGTCGACTAATATATACTTTGATAAGAAATTATCTGATATGAGCTTTGGCTTTTGTAATTCACATAACCACTCGAGTTACGAGATAATCCAGTCAACATAATTTGTAAGATGCATCCATCTTTGGAGGCTGGATCATTTCCCTTTGCCAAATGCAATGCATAAGCATTTGCTTGAGGAATTCATATATTTACAGAATTTTCAATGTTGAAATTCATATGAAATCGATGGTAAGTTCAATGGGTGACAGAAACAGTTTCTAACATATGCTACCAGGGATAATAGAATAGCCAAAGCAGCAGTCAAAATGATGGAAACACTAAATGTTTTAGTTATTGGAAGTTCAACATGACAAGCATGTATGATAACATATTAGTGTTACCGAACAACAAATTTATTGGAGCCAAATACTATTTCATATATTTGCCCCCCTTATAATGTAAAGTGATGAGACTTGAGGTTGGATAGGGCAGACTATTTATAGTCCAGAATCTGATATCCAAGCTTCTTTGTTTTAAAAATATTAAAAAAAAAAAAAAACAGAAATGAAAGGTAACACATAATTCACTATGAGACACATTGAATCTAACGAGTGTTATAACTTAGCAGCCCGCACATGATTGATTTTGTTTCATGTACCTCAACTGCTGCCTTGCAAAACAGCACCATGCGCTTTAGAATATCCTGTTTCATTCAAAGGACAATAGTCAAAAGGAATGCGAAGTGTGCAAAAAATTATAACAGGGTGACTGAGCAACTAGTAGTGTACGAATGCAATATGAGTTGCCAGGAGAATAAAGATTAGAATAGCATATTATTTTGGTTATTACCCTCAGAATCAATAAAAGAGAACACACGGTTCAGAAAGGGAAAAGGTGATCAGTGCACATATAACTTGTGACAAACAAAAAAGTTTCTTATTATTGATCCTCAACAAAGAAAAAAGAGATGTTTGTTACGTTACCAGTCGGTTTCCTCCATAGATGTTATTCTCTAAATGGCGAAACTTAGGACTGTCAATAAACACAAAGTCTACACCATCAATATATGTCTGGAAATATCTTACTTCCATATCCTGAAAGTAAAAGTGTTGGAAGGTTAAATCACCATCAATTTCAATGTAATTTTTTTATTAAAAAATATGATACATACCTGACCATCTACTTTGTACCTTCTTAGTACTCCTGTATCTTGGGGTTCAGTATAATTACCGTAACGAGGAACCACAACCTAAGAAGATGTGTACAAAGAAATGAGAAAATGGACATCTCTTCCCAAAAAATCTTGACATACACAAAAGTAATATGAACGATTAAATCTTATTATGCATTGGTAATTTGATCTATATTATACGTTACTTAAAACATTTGGTAGAGACAAAAATAATTTTAAAGTTAACATAAAGCCCAAAGCTTCTTAGCTTCTATGAGAAGAGATATTAATATCAAATTTCAACATTCTAACATGTTTTGGGAAGATGAAATAACCAAAGGCAAAACCAGGAACAAACACCAAAAAGTAAGCAGAGTATGCTTCACCATCCACATGACATGAAGGTTCAACATTGAGTTAAAATATAGACTCTCATCCCCCGACATGATCTAAAACAAAAGAGCAGTTCATTAGGTAAAGGAATAAATTATTACCATAACTCTATGCCCACGCCGTGCCAAAGCTTTTGGTAATGACCCAGCAACATCACCAAGTCCACCTACAATTTCATGCGCAAATCATTAGATTGCATAAACGAAAAAAAGAGCATACACGGAAGGGCAATAAGACATAACAAATGATATGCGATAGAGTTGGAGGGATTCCTTTGTTTGTGGAAGTAGCAGCTACCGGTGACATGTATATGCCTCGTTATATAGCCACATTAGACTATTGTCATAGCATGGATTTGCAGTGACAAATATACGAAGTCTGAATGAAGAATCCCACAGTATATGTTTTCCTTTAATTGTTGTTTCCTTTTTGTTTATACTTAAAATTCTCAAACAAACAAGCCAGAGAAACATGAAGGTTTAAAAAGATTACAATTAATACATATATATGTTCTAAACCTTTATTTTCCCCTTTCTCTAATAATTGAATCGGTTGGCTGGAAATTTGACTTTCAATTATTAACCAATTCCATGGGTTCAGCCAATCTGACAAGTAAACAATTAAGTTCATTAACTTTATGCAACAAGGAAAACCTTCTCTGTAAATGACAAAAAATGGAATACCTGTTTTTGACCAGGGAAAGCATTCTGCTGCCACCAATATGACATTCATGACGTTGGCCCCAGCCAGCGGTATAGATTTGTCACCTTCACTCTCGATGTTGTCAGCTTCAGTAGTGGCCTCACTTGAACTTGTTTCCGTCGTGCTATCCTCATATTTGACTTTTAGAGGGGAAGTTTCAGTGCTGTTTGCAAGATAGGTTGGTAAGGTATCTGGAGTAACTGTCTCATATTTACCATCTTCCACTTGTTCAGTGACAGGTAACATGGAGGGAGCCTTTTCAGGAGGTGAGATGCTATCATTTTGCTCCTGCACTTTGTCAAAGCCTTGATTAATGCCTACAGCTAAGGCTTCTGGTAACTCCTCTTCACTTGAATGGATATAACTGCTTGAAGACATACTGCCATTTTGGTATACAACAGCCTTGTCTCGGCTGATGAATGCTTTTTGTGGATTTGAGCCATTTGACAGAGAATTGTCATCAGTAAGTTCATAAGAAATATTGCCATCCGCTTCTGGTTCAAAAATGTTGTCATTGTTTATAGAAGAAACCAGTTTCTTTCTCTCAGCAATCTGTGATGGACAATAAAGACTAAATAAGATCATCATAAGAGTGCTTAGAGTATTTTTTAAGGTTTAAAAAATATAAAAAGGACCAATCAAAGAAAGCCGGCACAGAAATGTAGTTGTAATGCACATCAAATCCATAAACATAATGAAGAAGCTTTATAAATTCTTAATCTGGTACAAGAATCCCCAATGACGACCTTAAAAATCAAGTTCAGCAATTCATATCATGTAACCAATCCACATCATGGCCTATTTTGGTTGCATCCCATGATACGATGAATGCACCACTGTTCAATGATGACCCTAAAAGCCAGACGATTGAATATCAAAGGAAAAATGATCGAGAGCCTTAGCTAACAACATTCGTTTACAGAATGATACATATCAGCGATTGATTAACTTCCCCAAGAAAATATGCTCATTATTAAACAGCTTAATTTCGTATGTTTTAACAAACTGATCAACGTATTCAGCCTATATTAAGATGTTGACATTCGCAAACCACATTTTACAGCGTAGGAGGACAATACCCGCTGAAGAAGATCCCTTTGCATAGCAAGAACCTTCTTGCTCTTCTCAATGGTGCTCTGAAGCACATCCTCCGCGCCATCGTCGTCCTGACTTGTTCCTGTACTCTTCCCTATCGCGCGAATGTCGTTAGTCCGCCATAGCCGACCCCTACAGCGCCCATGGATCAGCCTACCATAATTCATCCCCGTACTCTCTGAATGACCGAAACTCGAAGCATTTGAGCTGCTAATTTCAGCAGACTTGCCGTGCCGATGGACGAACAATGGGAAGCTAAGAGGACGATTAATTTTAGTTTGAAGCAGTATGGAAGCCTGGGCATTAGTTTCAACTAGAAATGGAAAAGACCCAATGGATGACGCCATGGAGTCGGAGCTGGGGGAACTGAGTGAACGAATCACCCAGAGCCGGGGGAGCTCAGCAGAAGCAAGTCGTTGAAACTGAGCAATGGATGAACTCGTGTAAAGAGAAGCGGAAGAAGTACGGCAGTGAAGAAGGTAAATAGAAAGAAGAAGAGAGAGTAGGCGCGGGGAGGGGACCCACGGAAGGAACAATCATGGAGGGGTTTGAGGCGGAAAATGGCCGAGTGGGGGAAGATGAGAGAGATCACAAAAGCAGCAGTTGGACACATCAGCAGAATAGGGAAGAGCTAAAATACACTTGAACACATGGCGGTAATGAACGAGTCGGGACCACCCCGAGCTTCCACACCAGTCTTCAGTTTCCTCCTCTCGATCTCTCTTTCGGAGTTTTGGGCATGTTGCAATTTGCAGAGCTTATCTCCATTCTTTTCCAGAACAAGAAAAACATGCTTCAAATCACTGCTATTTTCGATTACTTCCATGGGCAATTTTCAACCGCAAATACCGTCCCAATGAGTTATCTTTTTGAATAAGTTTGTCTGGTACTGTTTCACCAGACACCAAAGAAAGGGAGGCACCGTTAACTCAAAGCCGAGCATCAAAGGTAATTTACGGCGGGCAGCGTCTTTCTAGCGCTATTGTAATGATTTGTCCAAAAAATTATCAATATATTAATAATGTAGGCCTGAATGGATTCATCTGAAACTCGTGCATGAAAATAGTCAATAAACAATGAAATCAATCAAAAGTTTTTTTAAAATAAAAAAAAAAAGAAAGAACAACAATGGAAGTTTATTTTTTAGTTACAAAAGCAGAAACTGAACATTGTATGATAATCATGTAAAATACTAATTTCTTTATTCAACATAAGAGTTACATAACTAATTTACGAAAATTAATTAAATTAATTATTTGTCGCAAATAAATATTATTTTTATTAAAATATTCTTTATTAATTATGTACATTAAAATTATCCTCCCCTTAACATATGCAACTATTATAGAAATTACTAAAAAAATAAATATTAAAAATAAAGTAAATTAAGGTCTTACTCCACCAGTCCTTAATATAGGACCGAATTATTAAATTAGTTTTGGTTTTAAATTTAAGACTCATTTATCATATTTATCAATTTTCTCTAAATTACCCCTATAGATACTCCCTCAACCATAATTAAATGGAAGAGAAAGAGGGGGTATTAAGAAAGATGATTGTGGTATTTTAGAAAAAACGTGTCATATATCTTATAATTAACTAACTTACCTAACTTTCTTAATCTAATCAAATTAGTTAAATAGACCTTATATTAATGACCGAAGGAATATATTAGAACTAAAGTAAATTTACAACTAGCATTTATATTAGGAAAAGGAGCTAGTATTTTATAGAGCAGATTGTATTTAATTAATTTGATCTATGATCGTAGGGAAAACAAGTTATGGTGAAGTGTGGGAGAAAGTCTGGGGAGGCAGAGAATGGGTAGGGGAGGCAATATAAAAAGGCACAATGAAAAAGAATGCAAAAGCATGAAACCTTAAAAAGGGGCCTTGTCCGGCTCTACAAGGACCACGCCCAAAAGCCAAAAGCCAAAAGCCTTGTGAGGGCGAAGGTACTACAATTGTAATACCATCGTTTCCTATTACTCTCTCCGTCCCTATTTATAAACAATAAGGCCAAATTACATCGAACTCTTTTTGACTTCAACTCCATTGCATATATCCTTTCTCATCTTTAAAAATTTAAAAATCACACCCTCAGCTTTTATATTTTGACATTTAATCCCTTACAACGTGTAGACATCATGTCAAACTATTTTAAATTATGTGGTAGATGACAGTAATTTTCATTACTTTTATTTACTTATTCCGACTAAAAATCATAATTACTCTAGAGAATATTTTTGTCATTCTGCCTATCAGAATCCCTAATTCTCTTTTCATGTTATCGTCTCTGTCTTCTCCTCTAATACCTCACCAAGTCGCGAGTGCTCCCCCTTTTCAACATTTTTTTCATCCTCTTCATTCAAAAGGTCATGCTCATCACATCTTCCTTTAAATCTGGACCTTCAGGGTTGTCTTCTACGTTGGTCATCATCTAATTCGTGAAAGCTTCCCAACTCATTATGCATTCATCATAGTCAAAATGTACATCTCCATGATCCACGAGTTCCCTCTAATCAAGTATGGCGTTATTTTTGTATGTGGTTCACTTTGCTCTGCAACTTTTATATTTGCAAAGAAACAAATCTGGTTTTGGTTAGCATCACTATTAGGAAATTCATAGCCAATCATATAAACCTTCATGTCTGACTCTTCATCAACCCTTTGATCTTCGTGTTTCACCCCTCTTCTCTTCTTAATTCATTTGTTCCTCTTGTGTTGGGAAAATATTCATATTTGCGGAATTGCCACATTTGTTTGAAAATCCCGTGATTTTGCAGATCATGAGACAGTTGTTTTGGGGATGATTGACCAACATAACAAGATCCTGAAATTAGAAGTATAAAAAAGTGGTATTGCCAGGATTTAAGAAAATCACAGGGCTGGGATGCACAGGGATAAATTTTTGAATGAAAATCATAGCAAGAGGGTGAAGCAAGTTGATGTAGCACGGATGACTTGCATCGGTGAGAGGCGGAGAGCAAGAGGAGGGGAATTGGTGATTGCTATTGTTAGAATTTTGAATTTCAATACTGCCCTTCAGTTTTAAGCCAGCATAAATAAATAAAGTAATAAAAATTACATGTCATCTGCTATATAATTTAAAATAATCTGACATGGCATCTACACCATTAAATTTAACGGTCATTTTAACAGTAAGAGATTAAATGTCAAATTATAAAAGTTGAAGGTGTGATTGTTAAACTTTTAAAGATGATGGAGTTATATGCAATAGAGTCGAGGTTAAGGAGGGTTCTATGTATTTTAGCCTAAACAATAACTATCATTCCCTTCTTGTCCCTAAATATAAGTAATATTTGTCTAAAATTTTGTAGCAAATTTTTCATTTTGCCCCAATTAATTACTTATTTTAATACTCAATATATTTGTTATCTCATTTCTCATTTCATTATCTCTTTTCATATACATTCTCTCTTTCATAATTCTCTTTCTTATACTCTCTCTCATTTATAACTAAGAGCAATTTGGAGAAAGAACTTCAAATTTCTACCTATTTATTATATTTAACTTACTTTTTGATCTATCTGATAGAGTCCAAGATTATTTATAAAAAGGAAACGGGGGTAGTAATATACAAAGCTATCCTCTTTAGTTTAGGGTGCATTTGGTATGAGGGATTTGAAGAGAAGGGGAGGGAGAGAAAAGGATTTTAATCGTTTCTTTTTGTTTGGCAACACTCAAATTTTAGAAGGGGAGGAAAAAAATTTTAAAATTTTCTCTTCCCTCTCCTCCTTAACCTCCCCTCCAAAATTGGGAGGATTTAGAGGGAAAATACAATATTTTGTCATGCTGTGACAATTATGTCCATATTTTGTCATATTGTGAATATTATGTCTATATCTTAAATAAAATAAGAGCAAAATTATTCATGTCAAAATATTTTTCCCTCTCCTACCCTCATAAACCAAATAAGGTAATATTAAAATTTCTCCCTTCCTCTTTTTTTTTTATAAATCCAAATAAGATAATATTAAAATTCTTTTACTCTCCTCCCCTCCTCTTCCTTTTGTTAAAATCTCTCCCTTCCCTTCTCATTGAGCCAAACAGAGCCTTAAGGCTAAGCTATCCTCTAGACCTTTGGTGAAGTTCTTCTCGTATTCCCAGACATAGAAACGAACTTTCCCAAATAAACTTAATTAATAGCCGCCCACTCTCGAAACTAAAATTGGCAATACCATAATTGAGCCTATCATCCATTCCATTGCATGCGTCCATTATTCCTATCATTTTAAATTTAAAATATTCTACCTTTTTTTTCTTTGTTCAACTAAATGAATGCTTCATCTGAATCATTAATTAGTCATTCACATGCCTGTTAACATTGCATTTTCTTTTTATTTATTTTAAGCAAAAATGTAAGAAATTTTAGATCCTGCAGTTTTGCTTCTGGTTACTTTATTATATCCTATTAGCCAAAAAAATACTTTTTTTTTTCTGGCTCTTGTCCAGGAGGCGGGTCAACTGTTCACTGAAAATCATATTCCCAATTCTAGAGAAAGCTGGGAATATGTTGGTAGATATCATACCACAATTTGGTCCTACGTACGTATTTGTCCGTCCAAATCTATATTATTAGGTGCTCCAGCTGAACGCTTACACCCGCTCACTCCATTTTCATCCACGTGTGTGGTTCTGAGTGTGTTAGAACTTCGGATGAATTACACTTGAACGCTAGAAAGCTCTAAGGTGGCAAAAAGCAGAGGAAGGCTAATAAGACCAAAAACATGGCAAAGAAACTTCCCAAGCAAAGCACTAGAAGCCTCCATCCTATTCTTCTTCTCCATTAGAATCGAACTCTCCCCTTTCCCTCCATCACGATCTTGGCTGCGCTTCTCATACTCACATTTTGCACTTAGAAAAGAGAAAATGCCATCTTCTCTTTCTCTCCCTATTGGACCCCCTCTTATCTGCAAGTCTCGACACTCCTCCAGGGATCGCACTCATGCCTGCATCCCAAAATGCATCAACCAAGAGAGTCCGCATTCGCAACCTGGGATCTCAGAACTGAAACTGAGCAAGAGAAAGCTTCTGTTATTCACCAGTGCTTTGGGATCGTGCAGGCCTGCAAGAGCAGAGCCAGAAAGCCCAGATGCTTCCACTTCGAACAGATTGACATACTCGAGGTTCTTGAAGTACTTGGACGAAGGTGACGTGAAGAAGGTGGACCTGTTTGAGGATGGCACCGTGGCGATCGCCGAGATATACAATCCGAGCTTGGATAAAATTCAGAGAGTGAAGGTTCAGTTACCGGCAGGGCCGCCTGCGGAGTTACTGAGAAAAATGGAAGACAGAAACGTAGACTTGGCTGCTCATCCCGTGCAACTGAATTGGTGGCCGGCACTGCTTGATTTCTTTGCCAACTTTGGGTTTCCGTTGATACTGCTCGCATCTCTCTTCTTCAGGACATCAACTAATAATCCCGCAGGAGGCCCCAACTTGCCCTTTGGTCTTTCAAGGTATGATCCATCAAGCAACGTACGTAAGGATCCTGGCTCTGTGCGGGTTTCTCTTGTTTTTGGGTATTAAAGATATTATTCTAAATACTCGTCAAATAAGTATAATAATAAAAATTTAAGCCCAACTTGTGATTGTCTAAAAACAATTTTTTCTTTGTTGTCATCCCTCTTAAATTTCCTCAGTATTAGATTTGGAGAATCTATTAGGCTTGCTAGAATTATTTAAGTTATATTATTTTGGCCTATATGCTAGTCATGGCTTGAACGTTGACGCGGATCATGATGAATATTTAGAAAAACATATAACATCAAAATAAATATAATTCTACTGATATAATAAAAATACATATCGTAAGTTACAAAATATTGAAATATTCGTAGGTACTACATTTTTATGGTAAAATTTTCTATATTAAATACTGTACAGGCTGGTGAAACAAGAACTGAGGAGTGTATTTTAGTTATGTGATGGATTGAAGGCTTGCAAGTCTCTAACCAAGCTACACATACATAATGGGCACATAGGAATTGAATTTAATTTGTTGTATATTACGTGCAGGAGCAAAGCAAAATTTGAGATGGAACCAAATACCGGGGTAACATTTGATGATGTGGCTGGAGTTGATGAAGCGAAACAAGATTTTCAAGAGATCGTTGAGTTTCTTAAAACCCCAGAGAAGTTTTCTGCGGTTGGTGCAAAGATTCCAAAAGGGGTTCTCCTGGTTGGACCACCCGGAACAGGGAAGACATTGTTGGCCAAGGCCATTGCAGGCGAAGCTGGAGTTCCCTTCTTCTCTGTGTCAGGCTCGGAGTTCATTGAGATGTTTGTGGGGATCGGGGCTTCCCGGGTAAGAGATTTGTTCAACAAGGCGAAAGCCAATTCACCTTGTTTGATATTCATTGATGAGATTGATGCTGTGGGGAGGCAGAGAGGGACAGGCATTGGAGGAGGCAACGATGAAAGAGAACAAACACTTAACCAGTTGCTTACTGAAATGGATGGTTTTACCGGAAACACTGGGGTCATAGTTATCGCTGCGACCAACCGGCCTGAAATTCTCGATTCTGCATTGCTTAGACCTGGCAGGTTTGATCGGCAGGTATGTTTCTTTGGTTGCATTTTCAGCTGCTTCACAGCATGCTATGGTATTTTGAAGTGAATGGTTTTCGGATTGGTGGAATAGGTGAGCGTTGGATTGCCCGATGTAAGAGGCAGAGAAGAGATATTGAAAGTTCACAGCAGCAACAAGAAGCTAGACAAGGATGTGAGTCTTAGTGTGATTGCGATGCGTACTCCTGGGTTCAGTGGTGCGGACCTAGCAAACCTAATGAACGAAGCTGCCATACTTGCCGGCAGGAGGGGCAAGCTGAAGATCAGCATGAAAGAGATTGATGACTCTATAGACCGTATTGTGGCTGGCATGGAAGGAACCAAGATGACTGATGGCAAGAACAAGATTCTCGTGGCTTACCATGAAGTTGGCCACGCTGTCTGTGCGTAAGTATATATCAAATCAGACGCTTTTTCCATCTTCATATCCAAAGGAAACAGAGAATAAACACTCATCATGAACCTGTAATATATACAGGACATTGACACAAGGCCATGACCCAGTACAAAAGGTGACTCTGGTTCCGAGAGGTCAAGCCAGAGGATTAACATGGTTCTTGCCAGGTGAAGACCCAGCTCTTATCTCTAAGCAACAATTGTTCGCGAGAATAGTTTCAGGGCTAGCAGGAAGAGCAGCAGAGGAAGTCATATTTGGTGAATCAGAAGTAACCACTGGTGCGGCTGGGGATTTGCAACAAATCACTCAAATAGCAAGACAGATGGTTACAACGTATGGGATGTCAGAGATAGGACCGTGGACTTTGATTGATCCTTCAGTACGAAGTGGTGATGTTGTGCTGAGAATGATGGCAAGGAACTCAATGTCTGAGAAATTAGCAGAGGACATCGATCAATGTGTGAAGCGAATAATAGAGACAGCATATGAGATTGCTAAGAATCATATAAGGAATAACCGTGAGGCTATTGATAAGTTAGTTGATGTACTGATGGAGAAGGAGACTCTTACGGGTGATGAATTCAGAGCTATCTTGTCTGAATTTACAAGCCTCCCTTCTGTTCACATAGATAGAACCCCTGTCCGCCAAATGATTGAAGCTTAAATGTGAGTATATAACTTGCTTACAATGTACAGTCACCAATATATATATGTATATAGATAGAGTTCAAAGTTTATATACTCTGTATGCCTGTGTATTGTAGCTTGATGGTAGGATTGATCAGTTTGGTAGAGACGCAAGAGTTTCATCATGATGTAACAATAGACTCTGTTCGGAAGAAAATGAGTGAATCATTATGAAGCTTACCCAAAATTTATTTTAATATACTTATCCGGTCTTTAATATAAGATCTAATTATTGAGTTGATTTTGATTCTAAATATAAGATCTATTTCTCATATTTATCAATTTTCTCTAAATATCTATGGATATCTCATAATCAAGTAGAAGAGGGAGAGAGGATATTAAGGAAGATGATTATGGTTTTTATAATTAACTAACTTATCTAACTTTTTTAATCTAATCAAATTAATTAAATAGGTCTTATATTAAGGACCGGAGGAGTATATGATTATATATATAAATATATACCTATTACAAAATGTTGTGCAAACAAAATACATAGAAGTTCATGCATGAAAGAATTTGAATATGCTGATTCAATATATTGATAAAAATACAGCTAATAGGTGTAGGTTTAAAATCAAATCTCAATTCAGACAAAAAAAAATCTCACTATCACTATGAAGATCTCATTAATGAACAATTTGCAGGTACTTTCTATAATTGTTTTTTAAATCATGAGTTTGGTCTTAATCTTGTTATGCTATTAGAGTCCTGCTCGCTTGATTTAAAAGAACACAAAAGGAACCCAAAGTAATCAAAGCTGTTTGGAGCATTAAGGGGGTGTTTGGATAGAAACCAAACCATGATTTCAAAAATGTTTTTACGATTTACGAAGTAAATATGTGGAGGAGTTTATCTCGTTTTGCGGAAATGAGAAGCACTTTTATAGATTGCCAAACACCCCCTAAGACGCAAATTCCTAAAGCTATTTGTACTGTAGTTAGTCATCACTACTTTCTTAGATTTAGGTTGGCTCTTTGTCTTTCAATTCATCAAGTTCATCCACTGATTATCCCAATCATAAAATTTATATCCGAGAAACATGTAACATGCACAACATTTATGTACAAAATTCACATCCACAACAAAGAATCAGTCAAAAACTTTACATAACAGCAATTGTAGTTAGGTTACATCCTTCATTTGATGCGGAGTTTAGCAACACATGTAAGTGAAAACATCATTAAACCAATCCGAAAATCCCAAACTCATAGAAAGAAACAATACTATCACACTCTTTGCTCAATTTTTTGGCTTCTGTGATCTATTTCTCGCCAATGCAGCAGTCAGAGAACAGTATGAGTAGCCTGAAGTTTGAAGAGATTAACATGACACCACTCATTTCATGAGTCTCTAGCCAGTAGCTTCATTTATGATGAAGACGAGCTTTTTAGGCCCACAAGCTTGTAAAACCCTATTGAAGAGTCAGCCTCAAATGCCTGTACTACGAATCCATTTACAGCCTCGTATGAAATAACGTGTGTTACGGCTGAATAGCGGTATCCATACTACCACGAGTGCCAGGCAACGCTGCTGCTTGCCCTCCATTCAAGGCCGTACGTAATCCACATACATGCAGGAGTGTATCTATTATGAATGAGCGGGGAATGGTCAATCTTTTGGGGAATAAAACTGAAGCTCAAAATTTTGGTGTAATAAAAAAAGAGCCATCTTCTACATATCCGTTTTGTACGCTCCAAACCAGTGCTACTAGCATCTCGTGATCCTCAGTGAGATTGTACTATGGAGACCATGAGTAGCTAAACTTGGATGTAGCAATGCAGAAATATAGGCATTGGCACAATCACGATGCCTGAATTTAGAACGCTTGGCTTCATCGGTATTTGCTTCAGAGTCCCTCAGCTTCCTCCTCCCTTGTGTCCTCCAGCCAGCTCCCCAGCTTGAGAGTCACGGACCCTATGTTTAGCATCAGAAGAAGGTTTATTCACAGTCTGGGCCTTCATACTATCGGGTCTTGATAAATGAATGAATTGAAAAGGTAAAATCATGTGAAAAAAATGGTCAAAACCAATAACAAAAAAATAAGTGCAATTAGGACCTAAATATAAATAATCCAACATGCGATCTTCCTTCTTTTTTTTTTTTTTTTTTATCGTTACTTCGTATATAAAAAGAGTGACATTATGGCTATTGTGTTTTATGGTTATGAGACAGTGCAGTTTTATATTTTGTATAGTTTTTAATATATATTTTAAATAGTTTCAAATATATTTTAATAAAATTTAAATGTTAAATCTCCCATGCATCGCACATTAAAAAAAAATCTAATTACATAAAATTTTAAGTTGATACATGTGTCATGCTACTCATAACTAGTAAACAATATGATTTGTTAATAGTTTTATTATAAACTAAAAATCATCCCCATATAATGCCAGGATAGATCATTTTTTTCGCTCAAGATTATTAACTGTCAATAAAGTAGTAACTCAACACCAATTTAACCAAGGGGGATATATAGTCAGATGATTTAACTTGGAATCGTCCCACTTAAAATGAACATGAATAATTCACAAGGTGTATTGCAGTAACCTATGGTCAACGCCAGCATGGCAAAAAGTGTTCAGTGTTGTACCGCAATCAAATGAGATTCCGTGATTCATTGATAGACTGGTTTGAAATGTTAGCGGAAGCCCATGTGCATTTTGATTATGAGCTGTCAGTAGTAGCAAGACAGCATGAAGCAACCAGACAGGTAATTGAGAAAATCAAAGTGACAGCTGCGGCCATGCATCCATTTAGGAAGAGGAGATTCCGATCATGGCATTATGGCAAGCATGTCTTTCTTTTCCTCCTCACGCTTTTTTAAACCTTTTTGCCCTTTCGGCCGCTACTGGTCGGGGCTACGGGTCCCCTCTCAATTATTGATTGCTCGTCGCCTTCTATATATATCTGAGTTCGCCCGGAAATTAGAGACAGCTCAATGATTCCTTTATGACTGACTACAAATGAATGAATACAAGCCCCCCTATATTCATATGTATATATTTCCGATAATTCCTGACTCCCCTTTATATCTACAATCTTCCAACTTTTGTGCCTCTTCCCTACCCTCTTAAACTAAAATAAGGGGTTTAAATTACAAAAGTCAGTTTATCAAACTTGCAGAGAGACTCTTGTCTTTATAGGCTTTAGTTTTAATCCCATGCTTTCTGGAGAAAGAAGTTCCGGTGCTATGCATGATGGGCTGAGTGGACTCCGAGGGCTCCCGCTGAACTGGCACGGCCTGTACAACCCATAGCCCATGAAAAAGTACTCCAAGGGAATCAGCATTGCATGTGGCTGTTCCTCTGTCACCATCGAACCACAAGCTTGGACCTACAAAATTGACCAAAATTAAAATGCCCCATCATGCCAAAGAAATACTATCAAATTTCATGCGCTAATCAAGGCCAGGCCAAACTGCCTGGTATGGGCATCTCCCCCCCCCCCCCCCCAAAAAAAAAAAACCTGCTGGTGCTTTTAAACATCCAACTCTTGCTGCTATAGGCAAGCAATTGTCTTGAATTAAGAACGCTAAGGCTGTTCATAAGCATGTTAAACTATTAAGCAACTTCTATAGTTGACTAGAGAAGTTCATGCATGTCATATACACCCTTGCACATCACTTTGCACCTCATACCTCCACTAGGGCACTGTATCTCCTATCGAGTTTTGAGGTCATGTACAGAGCCTCAGAATGAAAAGGAGAGCTGTCCCCAACAAAAATAAGTGTACGGCATCTTAGTCCCTTCAGTTCTTTTGTAATGTCAGGTCTCCTGCAAATTGGCAAAAAAAAAGTTGAAACACATAAATATGCCAATTACTAAGAAGACAGGACAGAAACAAACAACTTGAAGTTGATGAAGAAATTCGCCAGCAGAAATTACCGATTAATTGCATGAAGAAACCGCAAGACGTTGGTGCTCTTTCTTTCATCCAGCAACTGAAAACAAAGCACCGAAAGTATTCAAAACCAAAACAATGTGAGGCTAGTCCCTCTACCCCACTCTTAGGAAAAAGCTAAGCGGAGAAAGGAAAGGCAATCAGTTGTCAGCTACAGGACAATATAGAGCAAAGAAAGAATTGGCTTATCACTGACTGTTCTGCAAGCTTGAACTATCTCTGATTCTGGAATTTCAGCATTACCACGAACTTCCTGTAAGGCCCCGAAGAAAAACACTAAAAGTATTGAATAAAATACAAAATGACAGGGGAAGAGAAAAGCTTGAAAAAGAGCCAAAATTCCGGGATTACAATACCTTGCTGAAGTATCGCTGGAGCAAACACTCCTTCAGCAAACTACACATGCCATAGAAATATAGCAAATTTGACATGACCTAAAATTACATGCAATATTAGGTGCCGTAACTAAATTTTAAAATGCACAGAAAGGTCAGAAGGTCCAGAAAAGGAACCTTGTTATAAAACCATTCAGTCCAAGAAGGTGCTTTGCACAAAGGAGATACAAGTATTAAACCAAGAACACGTTCCCTATACTTCATCTGCAACAAATGATCAAAAAAACAAATCTATTAAATAAGATTAACTTCATATGGAAAGCCCTATTCATTAATTATATAGGGTACATAGTACATACTGCAAATAGAGTAAGGATATATGCACCAGCTGTTACCCCCATACACATCACTGCCCCAAGCCTGAAAAAGGAAATAGTTCATAGCATTAGTAAATTAGTAAGTAGTATTTAGGAAAGGGAAACACTCTAGATGCATCAAGATAGGTTGTCAGCTGCCCTTCCCAAGGGCCAGTGATAAGCTGAGAGAAGCACAGTTAGAGATTGCTTTTCATATTATTCGAGTACAGCAACAACAAGAAGCCTTATTTGAGGATTCAAAAAAGTGGAAGCGTTCTGACTTTCAAAAGCTTCCGGTTTAAATTTAAGCAACAATATAATCATCTTATGGTAATTACCCAAAATAGTTGAGAATCTCAACAATTTGATCAGCCAAGTCATCAACAGAAGGCACCGGATCATCAGGACAAATTGCTGCAGCTCCCAACTGCAAGAACTCTTGTGGAAGTTCCAGAGGAGACATTATGTAAATAATAGTATTCAGTCAAGAATGCAATAAATAATACATTGAAATCAATCAACTTACAGACCTCGTGCCCTGGAGGACTTATATGATATATGCAGAAGTTGTGAAGCAACAAAGAAGCTGCCTCAGGACAGAAAAATAATCCTTGGAAGCATGACATATCTGGCCCAAGACAAAGACAACTAAAAATTTTCAGATTTAAACAAGAGAAAAAACACGCACATATGAAACTGTTAATATAATCTAGGACCAATATAAACAAGTTTTAGGACATCATAAAGAATAAAAGCTGAATATTGACATTTCAGAAAAAGAAGCCATGGATACAAGAAAAATCACAAACGCACTTACGATTTAGGGCTAAATCTGGATAAGTGACGAGAGCTGGCTTATCCTGATCCCCATAGACAATGACAGACACAGAGCCACAACCGGTTTGAATATGATGTTCCTGTAGTGAGAAAATCCAAAAATAATCGTAACACAAACACAACCAAAATCTACATAGAGAAAGAGGCAGAGAAGTCAAGGCTTGAACTTTGGAAACGAGAAGGAAGCTTCCCCTAAAGAAAATCATAATACATCATTCTTATGCAGTCCATTTGAGTTGAAGACTTTTGTAATCCAGTCTGGTTTGGCTGTAAAGTCAACCTCAAACCAAACTAACCAATCATTATACGGTCAGGAAAGAAAACAAGAACAAGGGGCGAACAATAGGCATGGAATAGTCTATTCCTAAAAGGAGTAGAATGACGCTATCTAATCGAAGAACCAATATGTGATACGTAAAATAGTCGGTGGTTCATCAATGAGATATCGGACAAGACATGCAATAAGGCATACCAAGGTTTGTATTGTATGCTTTGCCATACACTAAGTGAAGGATCCAATTCCTTTAAAATCATGAGGGCCAGATAAGAAACATAATGAAAGGCCTCCCAAAAAAAAAGAAAAAGAAAAACGTAAGATAAAGTGGTAAGGAGGTCGTTAAAAATCCTCCATCACTCAAAATGTATCTAATATTACAAAGAACAAATTCAGTTCTTTCAAAATCCACTTAATCCATATAAAAATACTTCTATTTCTAAAAAGTTCTAAGAGAAAACAGTATGAGATGACTGGAAATCAACGTAAACAAAAGAAGACGTCAGTGACATTGTAAGTAACTGTTAGATGAAAGTGATAAACTTTAAAATTAACGGGACGAGAACCCAAAGTCCAGCATTTGAATGACAGAAGGACGAATGAAAATGTGCAGATCCATTAACTGCTATGTCCACATATTCACAACTCGAAAGGCTTGGACAAGGAAAATAAATAAAAAAGGACATAAAGATAGCGAATGAGAAAAGAAATCCACCCCAAAATTTTTGTTTTAATTATTGCTCCACAATGTAATGCGCAAGTAAAACGGTAATTGTTCTTGTTCCGATCCCAATGCAAAATATATAATCTTCAACATTCAGCTATGCAAAATGCCAATGAGGCAACTGTTGACTTCCAATTAACTTTTGCACAAACGTTGTCCAACAAAATTACATGGTTCTGTCCGAAAACCGAAATGCAGCTCAAAAAACTGCAACTGAAAATGATCCATTTTCAAACTGAATCCTTCGGACCCAAACCATATGAGCAATAAAACAATCGTATAGGAAAGGAGGAGAGGAGGAACCTTTCCGCCGAGATAGATCTTCTCCATGTCAACCGAAATGGAATCATTTGGCTCTGCCATGGCCGAAGCTCTGTGCGTCTGGAAGCTCCCAAAAGCTCTTCTCTCCTCTCTCCCTCTCTCTTCCCCGCGTTGTGCCAGGTTCAAGAAATATAGGTCCCTGGCTATAATGGCTTATATACAAAGCGATTATTTCTCGCTTGCCTCTGTGCTCCTTCGCTCGCCCTTCTCAAGACTCATGTGATTTTTTAAAAATAAAAATAAGAATAAAAACACGGAGAGAATCAGAAAATTCATAAATTTTTAACCAACCGATGTCAAGTGATTAGGATATCAAATTCAAAATATATATCAATAAAAATTCATAAATTTTATAATTTAATCAGTGTGGAATCCTTCGCACTGATGCAATTATTTTCTACTACCAATAATTCATGATTTTATGGTTATTATTGCTTACTGAGGGTTGCACGTAATAAATATAGAATTTATGAGAAAATATCAAAAAAATAACTACTGAATTTTAAAATTCCAAATCAAGAATTACTACAAAAATGTGTTGTCATTTGCTCTTTGAATGTAGTCATTGTCTTTATGAGTATAATAACTAATACTGATTTAAAATTTTAAAATTCAGCTATCACTTTTTTGAGATTTTCCCAAAATTTATTGTTGGCAAAAACAATAAACAAAAGTTGGTTGATAACTTTATTATCTTGAAGGATAAAACATAATGTCTTGTTTTGGGTTCATCAATCCAAATTTTCTTATTTTTTTTAATCATTTAGACATATTTCATGGATGTAATGTCTTATTGAATAAACTGACACAACCTTTGGGGGGAAAATTAAAAATTGAAATTAGAATCCTCTGTATCCTTTGTACGGGGAAAACATATTCAATGTTATTTGTTTTGAAGGGCTTGTATATGACTTTCTGTTTGATGTAATAAATCTGAATAATTTTTAAGACATGAATGTGAAAGAAATTGGTATTCATCTTAGGAGAAATAAGAGATTAACTAGGCAAGAGATCTGGAGTGTTTAGATGGAATCAAAATAATAATTTTAAAAATATTTTTACTGTATACAAAATAATTATGTGAAAAAATTTATCTCAATTTATAAAAAAAATATTTCTGAAAAGTATTTTTTACAGTGTCCAAACACCTTCCACGTGGGTCAAATACAAAAGGCGGCAAGCGACGTCGTTCGCTGATTGCGGGGGCGCATCATTTGTTGGTTTGACCGAGACTGTGTTGGGGTTCCACAAAACGCGTACACGTGTCATGGGCCATCTGGAATTGTAATTAGCAGAGGTTTAATGGGAGACATGAAGTGGTAGAGTGGAGGGGAGGGGGAGGGGCCTTAGAAGTTAAAAAACGAAGGGTTGCTTGCCTTTCATCTAACTCCAATCATTAATCATGCCCCCCCTCGTCATCATCTCCTTACCTCATTCCCCTTTTTGCCTACCTGGCGCTTCATTTTCCTTTACCTTTCACGCCCTCGCCAAACCCTACTCTTTCCAAGTGTTTCCCAATTCCCATGTGGCAATCTACTTCAGGAGTATTTGGGAAATCCTGCAAGCATTTTAAAACAGTATTTTTTTTTTTATATACAACTCTTCTCACATGTATTTACTTCTAATTCTGTAAAATTATTACTAAAATTGTAGTTTGATTTTCATCTAAATATCTCCGGATGGTCTAATTAGAAATAATTATTTTAAAAGAATTTTTAGTTTTTATATTTAAATGAATTCAAACTCAAGATTTCATATTTAGACCATCAAAATTCATTTCCTTAAAAATAACAATGACTATTTATGCTGTTTTTTAAAAAAATATTATGCTTTTTTTTATTTTATTTATAAAGCACTTTCAACATGTTTTATTAGAATTAACAAAAATTTTAAATCTCGTTGATTTTATCTTACGATTTAATAATTTTTTTAATTTTATCTTTCCTTAATACATATTCTTTCGAAGAAAAAACAATTTACAGAATGATGAATAAAAAATCAAGTGATGCATTTACATAATAAATTGAACGATAATTTAACATATATTAATCACGAGGAAAGTATACTTTCTTCATTTCATAAATAGGATCAGAGAAATATGTTCTCAACAAATAGTATAATACTACTTCAAATCTTTAATATAAGAACTCATTTGATTTTTATTTTGGTTCTAAATATAATATCCCAATCCACTTTGTCTCTAATATTTATATCTTTTTTCTTGAAAGAGTTCTTCTAATAATGGTAATTCTAACTAACACACTTGATTAACAAGGATATTTTAAAAAAGACAATATATATTTATTACAAATAACTAACTTAACTTATTTCCCTAATCTCCTCAAATTAGTCAACTGGCTTTTATAATTAGAATCGGAGGTATAGTATTAAAAATGCACGAACCATCGAAACCCTGTACGTCTAATTTGATGGCACCGTTTGCTTTTAGCCTAATTAATTACTTAAAAAAAGATTAATAATCTGAAATTGAATAGAGAGAACGTGGTATTCGTTCAAATAAAAGATGGATCCAATATCAAAATCATCCAAAGTTTATCTGTTTGATGGGTTTTATCAATCAAATGTGACTCATTACCTCAATGGTCAATTTCTTTGTAATTGTGATATTGATTTGTATAGCCAGCTGTGTGACAAGTACCTTTGTGCTGCCCATAACATTGTTTTCCATATGGTGGCTTCTTCCTTTAAATCTCCGAAATGACACAAATTTATTATTATTGTAATCAATAAACCCACCTACAATTTGCTCCTTTTCTACTTAAAGTTGTCGACAGCGATATGCAAACCACGACTATATTGCATTTCATACATGCCATCAGCTTGATTGCAATAATGACAATATAAAAGCAGTTGATTATATTTAAATTATTCTTTAATTTACTTGTTGCTTTCCTTTTGGCAAATTGAACTTATTTTCAAGGCTTAATTTTTCGATTGTGTCTGAAATGGTCAAGCGACAAAATGGTCAAGATTTTAAAAAAAAAAATTTGTGACTTTGCTGAGGGGAGAAAAAGGTTGAGGTGATGTCAAATTAATGTTATTATATTAATGATTATGACTCAATATTCTTTAATATCTTTTATTTAAGGCATATAATTTCTTTGAAAACTCTTTTGCAGTCGCCTACAAACTGTTTGGAATGCTTAGTGTCATGTCACAATTATAAATTAAGTTAAGATCATAATGCGGGGCAAGTGTTACGTTGCATATTCCTGCGTTGTCGGCAATCATTCCAAAAGAGAATAAGGCAATTACTGAATTTTTAGTCACGCACATATTATTGCGAATGTGTCTTAATCAATTTCAATTCTCCTTTTAAGTGATTATAATTTATTTGTTTTTTTGAAAGAAAGATGAGAGTGCAAATGAATTACTTTCATATCATCAATCACTACGTTAATGACATGCACGTTCGATGCCATTTAGCTTATTTTAATTAATTATATGATGTCACAGTGCGCCGTCGACACTTGTATGCAAAAAGCAACGCAACGGGAAGATGCTTTTTGATTTTTAAGATTGCAATATGGTATTCCCTCCGTTCCTTATTATAAGAGACAAATAACCAAATTACGTTGATCAAAAAATTAGTTAAAATTAGTTGAGGACAATTAATGTGTAAAAAGTATAATATATTTTCCAACAATGCCCCTATTAATAAGGAGAGAGAGTATGAGAGAGAACAATTAAATTATTAAAAGAAAGAGAAGTGGGAGAGAGAGAGAGTATGAGTTGGAGACAAAATAAATAGGGATAAAATAGGAAATCAATACAAAAAAATAGAGACAACTTTTAAGTGTCTCTTATATATAGGAACATGCCATAAGCATCAAATGTCTCTTATAATAAGGAACAGAGGGAGTAATTAACATGTAATCTAAGTCCAAACATTAATGACATTCACGTTTGTTGTTGTGTTATTTAACATACTCCTCCGGTCCTTAATATAGGACCCAATTCTTGAGTTAGTTTTGGTCCTAAATATAATATCCATTTTTCATATTTATCAATTTTCTCTAAATTATCCATATGGATACTCCCTCAATTATAATCAAGTAGAAGAGGGAGAGAGGGTATTAAGAAAAATGATTATGGTGTTTTAGGAAAAATATGTCACTTTTTTTATAATTAACTAACTTACCTAACTTCCTTAATCTAATCAAATTAGTTAAATGGATCTTATATTAAGGACCAGAAGAGTATTTTTTACAATCTCATAGTGCTTGACAATTTCATGCACTAAAAAGCAATGTAACGGTGAGATTTTTTATTTTAAAAAAATTGGCAACGGCAACATTATTATATCTATCCCAGTCCAAACGTTAATTGGACTTCGAGGGTCCCGATGAAATTAAAAAAATAAAAATACAAACTTGGTTAATCATATTTAAAATTGGCCTGCCAGGAAAGAGCGACTCTGAATGTGACATTAATTCTTAAACTAGGTTATGTAACACACATAAATTATATATTATACATAGCTAGCGTGCGGTGTCATTGTCTTCAAACTGTTGATTTCCAAAAGTGGTGGGCATTATTTGATGTAGTCTTGGAGTGGAAGTGGGAATATATGGTGGATTAATTGGATAGTCTATAATGCAAAACAATACTCTTCCGGTCCTTAATATAGGACCCAATTCTTAAGTTGGTTTTGGTCCTAAATATAAGATCCATTTCTTATATTTATCAATTTTCTCTAAATTACCTTATGAGTATTCTCTCAACCATAATCAAGTAGAAGATGTAGAGGGGGTGTTAAGAAAGATGATTATGGTGTTTAGGAAAAATGTGTCATTTTTTTTATAATTAACTAACTTACCTAACTTCCTTAATCTAATCAAATTAGTTAAATAGGTCTTATATTAAGAACCGGAGGAGTATTAATTTCAGGCTGCTAGCACATTCACAATATGATGATTTGCTCAAGCTTGTTCGATGCGGAAAATAAAGAGCAATACAAATAGAAGATCCTTTTATTCATCAACACATCATGAGGTTATTGAAGATTTCATTTTTACATGCATTCACATATAAGGGTAGTTGGTGCTCCGCTGAAATGAATTGGGCTGGTGCTTCATATGGATGCGCCAATCTGAATCAATCAAGTCCAAGTAATTGCATTAGGGCAGTCATGATGAAGTTCGGTGCCACAGTGCCTCCAATGTACTGGATCAGGTGGATGGATCAGTTCTAAGATAGGGCAATAGTGAATGTAGGGAAGTCATCAAAGACTTGAATGATAGGAGAATACATGGTTTTAGTTGTAAACTTGTCAATGTCCTTTTAGACATTGTGAAATTCCTAAAAATCCCGAATCACCTCTCGTTATATTAGATGAAGGATTTAAATATTTTCTTATTTTCACTAAACGTATTGCTATTATCAATCTACTTACAAGGGGTTGCGATGCCTCTTATCCTTTGAAGAATATTATTAGCAGTACTAAGTCAGCTTATTTATAGAGATTTGATTGTTAATATAATTCAGGGGGATAGGGAGGACTTTCGTATGGCTGACTGATTGTTCAAACAAGATTAAACTCAGATAGGATCAAATCTCCATAAAAGCAAAAGCAAACCCTCAATGCATACAGATAAATCTATCCACTTCACTCGTATAACTGTTTCTCTTATTCTAGAGATTTCCATTTCATTTCACCCCTAAACCATAAAACCCTAAATCCTAAGAAAAATCCTAAACCCTAAACCTCTGCTCACTCATTTCCCCTGCATGCACCAATTCAGTGAAATTGTTAAATATTTATCATCAAATTTTCTAATAAATTATACTCCTCTGGTCTTTAATATAAGACCCATTAAACTAATGTGATTAGATTAAGGAAGTTAGGTAAGTTAGTTAATTATAAGAAAAATGACACATTTTTTCTAAAACACCATAATCATCTTTCTTAATACCCTCTCTCCTTCTTCTACTTGATTATGGTTGAGGGAGTATCATAGGGGTAATTTAGAGAAAATTGATAAATATGATAAATGAGTCTTATATTTAAGACCAAAACTAACTCAAGAATTGGGTCTTATATTAAGGACCGGAGGAGTAATATGCAACTTTTTATTAAAAATTGCTCATATAAGTTCTTTGTCTCAAGGTAATATTATTTACCTTTTTCATGAATATTGCCATTTTCTAATAAATTTTATTGTGTACTCCTCTGATCCTTAATATAAGACCCATTTAACTAATTTGATTAGATTAAGAAAGTTAGGAAAGTTAGTTAATTATAAGAAATGTGACACATTTTTCTTAAAATACTATAATCATCTTTATCAGTACCCTTTCTTTTTCTTTTACTTGATTATAATTGAGAGAGTATCCATAGGAGTAATTTAGAGAAAATTGATAAATATGAGAAATTGGTCTTATATTTAGAACAAAAATCAATTTAATAATTGGGTGTCATATTAAGGAACGGAGAAGTATTATATATTGTGACAATTGATAAAGACGTATATATGTGATGTTTTGGACTCTATTAAATATAATTCCTTAGCTCGTAAGAAATTACAAAATTAATTTGTTTTAAAGCACATGACATCACAATAATCATAATTCCTTGCAATGGTGCAGGAGCTGTTTGTAATATTGTTTTTATCGATGTATAATAACATTTCAATAAGTAGTCGGAGCTGTTTGTAATATTATTTATATCGATGTGTAATAAACATTTTAATAAGTAGCTAGCATTATTACATAACCTATTTTTCAAAATACATGACATCACAGTTATCACTTCTCACATATAAGCAAACACACACACAAGCGTACATCATTCCTCATATTTAAGCTTCTTTTTTTTTCTTGTTTTAAACCGGAAATTTCAACAAGTTACCTATATATAATTTCTGAATAATTCTGGCAAAAAAATCTTTTTAACTTATTTGTTTTTAACCCGGCGGCGCGCGGAATTCCCTGGAATCTTGCTGGGTGGGTTGCTTCTAGAAATGCTAGTCACAAATACGCAAAAATTTCTTCATAACTGTTTGCTGGGGAATCGCATTAGGGAGTCGGAGGAGAACCACCTCCGGCGTTAGAATGGCGGGGAACGTCGTCGTGGTTTTTGACTTTGATCGGACGATAATCGACAATGACAGTGACAGATGGGTCGTGACAGAAATGGGTCTCACGCAGATTTTCAATGAGCTTCGCTCGACCCTGCCTTGGACCTCTCTCATGGTTTGTGCTCACGCTTTTAATTTCAATTCGTTGTTTGAATAAGTATAAAAGTTTCACGTTGGATTAAGAAATATGCTTATAATTTTAGTCCTTCTTTACTGCAAAATGTGGAAAGTAATTGAAGGTCAGATGGGGATTCCTTTTTGTAGCCCATGAAAAACGTCCGGCGTTTTAGTTTTCAAGTTGAGATTGTTCCTGTAATTAATTGTTTATTAACCTGAATTAAGTAGATTCAAAGTCTTGTTATGTATTTGGGTTCTGAATCGTCATCTTTAAATTTATTCAATTGCTTCTTTGACCGTTTAAAACGTCTAATCTGATAGGATACGATGGTGAAAGAGCTCCACGCACGAGGGATTAGCACGAAGGACATTGCAGAGTGCCTGAAAAAGGTCTTATTGCATCCAAGCATTATTGCAGCTATAAAAGCAGCCCATGCTTTTGGGTTAGTTTCTTCATCATAATCATTGGTCCCTGGTTTCGCCTTCATTTTTAACCATTGTGGTAATTGACTTAACTACTATGTTGCGAATTTGTTTCTTTCAGATGTGATTTGTGGATAATTAGCGATGCAAATATGTTTTTCATTGAGACGATATTGGAACATCATGGTATATTAGGGTGCTTTTCCCAAGTCAATACAAACCCAACTTATGTGGATGAAGAGGGACGTCTTCATATCAGTCCATTCCATAATTCAAGCATGGCCCCGCATAATTGCCATCTCTGCCCTTCAAATATGTGCAAGGTATTGCTTAAACATCATTGTTATTCATCATTCTGCCTTGTTGTAACGTACATAAACTTCTAACTCTGAGAAGAACGATGCTCTTTTGCGGCATTTAACTGTTTCTATCGAATGGTTTATTGTTCCATAAGAACCAAAAGTTTGTGATGGGTGTAGAGTTGACTAATTTTTCATTCGAATTACTTTCTAGTTCACATTGTCTCTTCAAAATACAATCAGTAATCAATTTCCTACTTTTACATCTCGAAGATGTCAGTTGTCACGATTTCTATATGGAGGAACCAGATTGATTCGTACATTTTAGTGAGCACGATTATCCTTTCCATGTAGCAGAAGGCCCGGTACTGTAGAGGGGCTATTTGCTTGATCAAATTGTGTGGCTGTTGTAAAATTTTTCTTCTTTCATTCATTTTTAAAGAGAAATTATCTGTGCAAAACTAGTAAGCCACACCTGTTGTCAAAATTATCTTGGGATATCAAATCTTCCTGTTTTCCTCGTTCAGTGAGGGAAACAGCAGTGACTAGCTGATACTTGAAAGTGGGTGTTGTTGACCTGATATGCAGCCATTGGCTTAGCATTTGGTTGGTGACTGATAAAATTTGTCTTAGTTGCTGCATCCTTACAAAATTATTAAAGCCAAAGACTGATTTCTGCTTTCACTGCTATCTGGCTAAATCCATCGCCATCTTCCCAACCTAACTTTCTTGGATAACTTGTCCCATATAGAATTGGCTGTTGTGTGATTTTTATCGCAGGGTTTAGTGATTGACAAAATCCGAGGTTCTTTACCTGAGAAAAAGAGGAGATTGATCTACGTTGGAGATGGAGGAGGCGATTATTGCCCAACATTGAGACTGGAGGGAGGTGATTTTGTGATGCCAAGGAAGAACTATCCTCTCTGGAATCGGATTTTCAGTAATAGAGAACAAGTTAACGCACAAGTTCATGAGTGGAGCAGTGGGGAGGAGTTAGAGGGCATCCTATTGAACCTTATCAAGAAATTAGCAGTAGACGATGCTGTCAGCCATTCTTGTTCGGTGCACTCATCTGAGTGCGTTGAGAATGCTCAGTTCCTGAGTGAAGATGCATTCTCTCCGACTCTTCATGTGCCCCTCCAGCAACTTTAAAGATTCATTCTTGTTAGTTGAAGGCTGTTTACGCTTCTAACAGGATATACTAGTCACTTCTGGATTGGAAAAGTGCATGCATTGCTATTCTTGGGGGTGGCTTGTTCTGTAGCAATACAATGAAAATGAATTCAAGCATTTCGTTGGGCAGTCATTGTTTTATGATTGGAATAGACCTCTGCATGAGGGGCCGACGCAAGGGATACCTACTTCCACGAGGCCTTCCTAGGCCAGCATTTTTCTTTAATTTCTTCCCAGGCTAATCACGTTGTAGAAAAATGCAGATGCGAAGGACATGAATGCTTGACATGTATGATGCATGAAATTTGAAAGTGAGGTGCTGCACAGCCATCCATTGGCGCCTTTGCTATTTACTTGAAGACGGTTTTCTTGTACTACTTCCTCCTGTGCTTAATATAAAAGTTAGTTGACTAATTTGAGTAGATTAATGAAATTAGTTAAGTTAGTTATTTGTAATAAATGTGTGTTTTTTTTTTCTAAAATATCCTTACTAATTAATATATTAGCTAGAACTATTATTGTTACAAAGACTATCTTGAAAAAAATGGATAAATATGATAAACAAAATATATTGGAGTTTTTTTATTTAGAATCAAAATAAAAGTCAAACAAGGTCTTATATTAAGGACCGGAGGTAATATTTATTACTCGTATTAATACAAAATTTTATGTGGGAGAATTGTAACAAAATCTTATGAAAAAGAAATAACTACCAAAAAGTCTTAATAACAAATAAAGAGTTGTTATTTTTTATTCTGAAATTTGTCATTACAAATTGTTCAGTTATCATGGAGGCTTTATAATAATTATGTTAACCATATTGCAATTCTCTCTTTTTATATTTCGGATCGATTAATCGTACTTCATTTCATTCCTTCTTTTTATAACTTCGAGAGGTTATTGACATTGCAGTGGTACTCAATGCTTGGGGTTGCCAAATTTCTGAGTCCTTATCAAATACTTTTCCGATCCTAATTATAAGACCCAATTGACTTATTTGAGGAGATTAAGGAAGTAAGTTAAGTTGGTTATTTATAATAAATAAGTGTTGTCATTCCTAAAATATCCTTGCTAATTAAGTATATTGGCTAAAACTATCATTATTAGAAGGATTATCTTGGAAAAAAATACATAAATATAAGAGACAAAATGAATTGGGTCTTATAATTAGGACCAAATAAAAAGTCAAATTGGGTTTTATAATAAGGACCGGAGAAGTAATAACTTTTCAATTAGCACGGTTAGACATGAGTGGGCCAGAGAGCGTCAACATGATTGGCCCGTTCGAGTACGCCCATTTCTGGGGTGGAGCTAGCCTAGTCGCTTGACCCAACGTCTATTAATTTAGGCCGTTAGCCATGTTAATCAAAATTTATAAGTTATTAAATTTACACGTAAATAGTATAAATTGTTACAAGTTGAAAAAAATTATGATAAATTTTTTTATATATATTAATATTGATATTAATATGTCAATTTTTTTTTGTCATCATATATATTGATCTTGATATTAATATGTTAATTTTTATTGGCCAGAATGATTAATATATGAACATGACTGATGAGTATATATTGATAAATGGAACCAATCATTAACATTATAATTTTAAAATCCATAAATTGGTTGGCAAAAATAAAATTGATAAATTGGTGAAACTTTCCCAGACGACTGATGATATCTATGAATAAGATCTTGTTTCCAATTTTTTTCCCCAAAAAAGCGAGTAATTTGCATTCTGTCGTAAAACGCTGATTCGATGAGAATAAGAGTCTCTCTCTCTCTCCCCTCTAAGATTCTCTCCGTCCTTATGCAATTGAACTAGGCAGCCTGCGAAATCATAAGAAGCAGGAGCAACGAATTACTGAGCCGATGCTTCTTATTTTACCCCATCCATCCAAAATGGAATTAGACTGCGCAGACTTTCTCTGACTCATTTGAAGCTTCCCAACAAGAAAAAGAAAAAAACCTCACGTAAAGAACCTTCCATCTCACGGACCCGCATCAGTTCCTCTTGTTGGTTTTCTTTTCCTCTTTCTTTTGTCCGTCTCTGTTCCAACTCTTGTCTCCTTTTCTCCCTTATGTTGAATGGGAAACAAGAGCGAAGACGGAGAGAAGCTGATGTTATTTGATGGGGTATTGGAGGCTATGCCCCTCTTCGCCAAGGAGCTTGTCGCCGGAGGTGTTGCTGGTGGCGTTGCCAAGACCATCGTTGCGCCCCTCGATCGGGTCAAAATTCTCTTTCAGGTATTTTATTCAGGTTCCCACTTCCCATTTTTTTTATTTCTCAGCTAGTGTGTTCTGGACAAAATTCAGGTCCGTATCGTCCATCAATTGCAGTTTCTTGGTTTGTCTGGTTATTGCCTGTTTTCTTTATTAATGGGCCCTGCTAGAGTTATTAATCATCACTGAGGATGTGTTGGATTTAAAGATACTTGAAATATTGAGTTGGGGAAGTGGGTTTTGCAGAAAATGAATGCCAATGATTTGTCTAGAGGCATATTATTACTCGGTAAGATTACCAGGTACATATGAGGAATGCCTTCTTCCGATTACTTTGAAGAGAGAATTTAACTCCAAAGAACTTTGAGGTGTTCCTGATCGGATTAACAAATGAACGGCGCGGCGATGGCTTGTTTTGTTTAAGACAAGGATGCTGCATTGCCAAGCATTGGTTTGATTGTATGATTCTTTGTTTAGCCTGTGGAGTTTTCCTGTTCATTAATACCCGCATTCACTCCTGGAAGAAAGAAGATACAGATATCCTTTTTAAATCAAAATTGAACACAGTTTCTGCTATCTGACTGGTAGATACTGCTGTTGAACACGTTTATGCCAAACAAGTGACTTTGGTAGGTCGATGAATTATTTTTTCTTTTTGACTTTCGCCATCACTTCCTTTTCTTTTCCTATGGGGCAATGGCGACGATATTAACGTTCTATTGACTATTTACATCACTATACCTCGAAATTTTTATCGGGTGTTTTTTTCCTCCCCCCGGTACAAGCTTTTCCCTGGTTGAGGTTTCATATTTTTATTCCAAGATTTTGGGTTTAGAAAAATTTTGCCTTATGCAATTTTCGCACGAACTCCAGAAACTGTGACAACTGTTACTGATGTTAACTAGCCACTTCATTACTGAATTTCTCAATAATATATCAGCAGTAGTTAGAACGTTTAAAACAATCAAGTTCAAGTAAGGTGGCAGTAAAACTGTAGCAATGACAAATTTAGCTCAATGAATTCCGGACCTTTATTTACTTATTTTAGCAACAGACGGTAATTCTGGGTCTACTAGAGGTACCCTTTAATAGGGACTCTAGGGAGTAATCGATAATTAGTTGTTGTTTTCTCCTTTGATCATATGCAGTTAACTATACGATTTGCTCTAGTATATGCTCGGGTTGGTTATAGAAAGAAGTTTGAGAACCATCCTATACTTGTTCGATAATCCATTTCCATCAATGGTCTTAAAAATCACTCGCTCCCTCTTGTCATTTGCATTATTATGATTCCTTGCAGACACGAGGAGCTGAATTTCAGAGCACAGGGCTTTATGGATCAGCGAAAAGGATTGCTACAACAGAAGGCTTTTTGGGATTCTACAGGTGAATGAATGATGTAGCCTGAATCCATTAATGTCAGTGCTGCCTTGATTTTTCTATGACTAAACATCTCGGGCCAAATTTATGTACAGAGGAAACGGAGCAAGTATTGCAAGGATTATTCCCTACGCAGCCCTTCATTACATGTCCTATGAGCAATACCGCAGATGGATAGTGCACTCTTTTCCTGATGTCTGGAAAGGCCCTACCCTTGACCTTGTAGCAGGTTCATTATCTGGAGGCACAGCTGTACTCTTTACTTATCCCCTTGACTTAATTCGGACTAAATTAGCCTATCAGGTTATATACCTTCTGTCTTTGAGTGCTACTGTCAAGTTTTTCAAGAATAGTATAATGAAGGGAAATTGTTTAATGCCTATTGCCTTTGAAAGAGTCAATCATGTGGGTCTGATTTGAAATTTGACACCATTTTTTCCCTCATAGAAGTGTGAACCAAGCTGTATCTGACACTGCAGGTTGTAAGCACAACAAAGGTCAATGCTTCAGGGATGGTTAATAATGAACAAGTTTACAGAGGGATCCTAGACTGTTTTGCAAAAACTTACAAAGCAGGCGGCATTAGAGGTCTCTACCGGGGAGTGGGTATGCCTATAAAATCTGCTCATGCTACTAGTACCAGTATGATTGTGTTTAAATGTTGGGTTCACATTGTGGAAATTTTTGCATTCAATTCATGCCAACAGCTCCATCATTGGTTGGGATATTCCCATATGCCGGTTTAAAATTCTACTTCTATGAGGAAATGAAACGCCACGTCCCTGAGAAGCACAAAGAAAGCGTTGTGGCCAAACTTACGTGCGGATCCGTAGCAGGTTTATTGGGACAGACCTTCACATATCCCCTCGAAGTTGTTCGGAGGCAAATGCAGGTATTTCATTTCATTTATGTCTTCATTCTTCAGATAATGGTTTATAGATATCACATAGCATGATACAGAATCCATACCTGGCTAGGTTCAAAAACTTCGGGCATCTGATAATGTACAATTGAAGGGCACTCTGAAAACCCTTTTCATGATTGCCGAAAACCAAGGTTGGAAGCAACTATTTTCAGGTCTGAGCATCAACTACATAAAGGTGGAAAAGCTGAAACCTTTTATTCGAGAAACTAACTTCCCAGAATCTTACTGCTTAATTATGGCTTGCCTTGTATGATTCAGGTTGTCCCATCTGTTGCCATTGGATTTACAGTTTATGATATTATGAAGTCATGCCTCAGGGTTCCATCAAGAGATGAAGCTGCAGTTGAAGTGTTAACCAACAAAAGAATCAGTCAACCATCCCATCAGTAGTAGTAATGATGATAATAAAAAAAATCCCTTTCGAACTCTTCTGAAGCGTCAGAATGGCTTCTTAGTCTGATTCTATTTCAACATAATCTTAGCTGTACATTGCATTCTTTCAAGTATTAAAGTGCGAGGTGGAGATTATGTACCACCTCCAAGTAGGGCTTACATGTATTTTCATACGCCCTCCAAGATAACGATCGGTTGGCAGGGCAGGCGTCATTGATTTCATCATTCCCTGAGAAAGAAACCATGTTTCTTGGAAAGATTGGAGATGTATCATGTACATAACAGTGTTAAGATAAATTAGACTTGCAATGTGCAAGAATAATGAAAGGATTATAAATTAAGCTGACAATATCCTTTTACTACATTTGACTTTTCGCACGCAGCCCCCTGTTTGCTGTTATCGTCCTTATATATTCTTGGCTATTCCTATTCTCAACATACGACTTAGTGATTTACCATTACGCTTGGGTCTGGAGGGCATTCATGTGAATGAAA